CCTGTCACTGCACCCCAGCCAGGGGGTGTCCCTGGGCGACACTGTCACCCTGCGGTGCCACCTGCCCCAGCTGGCTGCCTGGGTCCGGCTGTACAAGGAAGGACGTTGGATACACAGCAATTACAAGTACAAGGAGCAGGACACTGCAGAGTTCTCCTTCTTGAGCACGTATCGGGAGCACGCAGGTACATATTGGTGTCAGTACCGGCTGCCTTGGTCAGCAGTGGAATCAGAGAAGAGTGATCCTGTGGAGCTGGTGCTGACAGGTGAGGGCACTGGGGACAGCAGATGGCTCTGCTTGCTCCCAACAGGACCGTGTCCCACTGCTGTCCCTTCCCTCATGCAGATCGCACATTCCCCCCACCCAGCATTTCCCTGAGCCCTGAGGAATGTGTGGAGATGGGGACCAATGTCACCATCCAGTGCTGGAACAAGGACTATGGGGCCGCCTTCCTCCTGCACAAGGATGGGTGCTCAGCCCCCATCCAACACCAGGACCTCGATGTGGTGGGCACAGCCACCTTCACCATCTTTGGGGTGACCCCAGCTGACAGCGGCACCTATAGGTGCTCCTACCGCCCCTGGGCTTACCCCTTTCTGTCCTCACCCCTTGGGAGTAATGTGACTCTGGAGGTGACACCCACACCTGCACACCCGGGTGGGTCTCAACCCCATTTGAGTACCCCTGGTGCCACCTCATGAGTGGCTGTGTCACCTCCTGTCCCTGTAGAGGTGGTGGTTGAGGATGTGATAACTCAAACACCCGGATCCCACAGGTGCTGCAGACAGTTCCCATGGGATGCTGGTGGTGGCAGTGGCTGGGGGCTGCACTGCTGCCTTTATCTTCATCCTCGTCCTTGTTGTCTTCTTCCTCCTCGGTGCCTGCAGACGTCGGATACAGAGAGATGAGTGCCCTGGTGGGGAAGGGTTTAAACGTCATTATTTCTCAGTTGATCCTCTCAAAGTCTCCACAGCCCCCCCAATAGCCCCATCCCATTCTCCTCCTTGTTTTGATGCAGGCACCCCTGCAGAAAGGCCTGAGGACATGGAATTCCAGGTAAGTGTCCTGGTCAAGGAACCCCAAACCCCAGCCTGACCCTTGGAACAACTCCTCATCCCATTTACAGTCCCAAACCCTGTCCATGCGGATCCCAGGGGATCCACAGCCTCATATGGTTTGCCTTAATGTTAAGCACAGCCCCCAAACCCAGACCATGAGGAACTCCAAATCCACACTGTGGAGACACCCAAATCTGAGCCCTCAGATCCCCC